GGAAAGGCAAGGCCCCAAGTCCTGACATTTGCAGGGCCTCCCACACTCCCCGCCCAACCTGCCCGCCGCCCTCCACAGCGCAGATGCACAGCTGAGGAAAACAGTCCAAAGAGAAGGCTCCAGGCAACAGCACTCAGTGGCAGCAGAGGAGGGAGACGAAGCCAGGTCCACCTGGGCCCACTGCTCCAGTGTGGGACTCCTATGTGTGCACATGGCCCTGAGGCTTGGCTGAGTGCCACAGAGGAAGGACTTGGAGCCGGCTTTGTTCAAACTCAAGACAGAAACCATAAACTCATGGCAAACCCAAAGTGTGGGGAACTCCACAAAATCATCTCTTAGAATCACTACCTGTGTCCTCCAATCGTCTAAGAAATGAGTGTTGGTCATAATGGCTGATAGCACTTCTGATGCCCTTCCTATGTGCCAGGCAGCTGTTCGATACTGTAAGTTAGGAACTATCAATAGCACACGTTACACACAGAGAAACCAAGGCTCACAGCTGGTAAGGGGTGGAGCCATGATTCAATTACAGAACCACTCACACACAGATTGTGCCTTATTGTGCACGTGCAGTGGCACACATCTACCGACAGGGGCTCCCCCATGAGGCAGCATCTGCTTTCTATTTCCAGAAGGTTTTTAATGCAGCTGACAGAGTTTCTGCAGCCCAGGCTCCTCTCCCCAGAGAACACCCTCTATTTGCTGGCTTGGATTGTGTGACGCCACGCCCTGTCCAGCTCACTGGAGCAAGAGTGGACAACTGACTTTACTTAAACAATCAGAGTCCTTATTCCAGGGATCTAGCATCTTAGCACCTAAGGTGTAGCTGCAATCTGCAATTAAAGGGGCCTTCAAAAGGTATGTGGAAAAATTTCATTATATTTTAATTCAATTTTTCCAGGCACTTTTGGAAACATTCTTGTAACACTTCTGGGTTATCTAGATGTTCCTTCTGACTGCCAATCCACATGTTAAATCCCCTCGGTTGAAATACCCAGAGTGTCTGAGCATGGCTTACCCAGAGTAAGCCACCTTCCACTTTGTATGGAACAGTCCAGCAACTCCGGCTAAAGAGAGAGAACAATACAAGACACAAAGAAGCACAGAGAAGGGGCTAGGCGGTCTCTAGAGAAAACAGGAGTGCCGCTGCCCAGGTTTAATTACACTTGATTCCTAGGAACAGGGTATTTGGAGATCCAATACCACGTTACGCTCTTGTCGTCCCCAAGAGCGTACAACAAATTCCTCTTCTTGCTGACTTAACTCCAGAGAGTGATGCCTGAGTCTTGATTATCACAGACCAAAATCCACATTCCTTATGTCTGCCTCATAGAAGTCCAGGGACACTCAAAGCATTTTTAAAAATCCTCCTCTATCTAAAAGAACATAAAATGCTTGAAGACAATGGTCTTCCATCTCTGCTGAAACCCAGCTTCATTTACTCCTTGTGAACAGGCCCAGGAAGGCCCCCAGGAAGTGCCAAGGGCAGCAATCAGCTCTTTGTCCAGGCTGGAGTCCCTGGTTCCATGCCACGGTATGTGTGTGTATGTGATGGGGTAGTACAGAGAAACCTCTTCTAATCTCCTCTATTTCTTGCCTCCCACCTCTAGTCCCTGGCAACTACTTGTCTCTTTGTTCCTCTTTATTATTGCCTTCTTCCAGTATGTCAGGTAAATCAATCCTTACAGTAAAGAGGCTTTTGAGTCTGGCTTGTTGCATATGGCAGTTGAGATCCACGCATGTTGCTGTGCTTATCAGTAGTTCTTTGTACTGTGTGACACTGTGTGGATGTAGGTCTGATCCATTCCCAAGAGCAGAGGACTCGCTGGTTTGGGTCCTTACAAATGAAGCCGCTATCGTCATTCATGTAGAGGTTATTGTGTAAGTAGTTGTGGGGTTGCTGGTCTTATTTCACATTTATGGTTCACTTTGTAAGAAAGGCACACACCACATTGCCATGTGGCCACACCACCTGCATTTCCATCAGTGACCTGGGTCAGGTCCAGTTTCTCGACATCTTCATAATCCTTGGGCTTTTCAGTTTTGACTTGGTTGTAGTCACTTGAATAGGCCTGTCGTGTCTTCACTCTGTGGTTTTCAGCTTCATTAAGGATGAATGAAATTGAGCATCTGGATATTGTCTTTGGTGAGATGTCTGTTTAAATCTTTGCTCACTCTTTAATGCTTTTTCTTTGATCCTCTTTATTACTGAATTTGAAAACTTCTTTATATATTCTGTAGGCGTCTTTTATCAGATATGTAATCTGCAAACATCTTCCGGCGTGTGACTGCTCTCTCCAACAGTGTCTTTCAAAGATCCAACTTCTTACATTCTCCGTCAGTGTGTCGATTAAGTAGTGCATCTCCCCCATTTAGTTTCTCCTCTTGGTGGGAATAAAATCCAAATTCCTAAGCTGTCTTCCCTGCACTTCTGATGCTTCAACTATTTCCAGCCACAGGCCCAATTCATGCCAGTCCCAGTCATTTGTTAATTCACGATTTCTTACACACACTCTCTGTAAGTGGCCCCTCTCACCACACAGGCCACACCTCAAATGCCACTTCTGAAAAGAGGCCCTCTCTGACCACAGACACCAAGACGTGCCCACCTTACCTCCACTCCACTCGATCCCACTGTCTACTACGAGAGGGGGTCCACCAGAAGCTCAGGAACAGAGATCCTGTGGATGCTTCTCTGCCTGGTCACCATTGTCTTCTTAATCCTCCTTAAAGTGCCTGGCACAGAGTAGGCCCTTCATACACATGCTGTGACCAAATGAACAGCAAAGTCTAGTCCCGTCTTATGCTCCTAGTCACAACATGAGTGGTCCTGTCCTACCGCCTATAGCAGTATCGCCACACAATCCTTCTCCAGAACCTCAGCTCAGAGTCGCGTGTGCCCTGAGTCTCTGCATATGATTTCAAATGACCCCGGGTGGGGAGAGCCAGTCAAGGCTTCTATAAGGGCAGAAACTTTGGCCAGGTCCTGCCTCCCAGGGTCCTGCCCAAATCCTCACAATGTCATCCCAGGTGACCAGCACACGGGTCTTTTCTATACAAGCAGAGCTTCTCGGCATAATGGCTATGAAAACTGTAATGCCTGAAAAAAAAAATCCCTTGTCTCAAAAAAAAAAAAAAAAAAAAAATCAGAAAATTGCTATTCCTGCTACTTAACGAAAGCCATTATTTGCATAGATTTGGCATTGCTACAACACTTTCACATTTAAATGGTCTGTAATTAACATCATTAATTGCAGAAAATAGTGGCTCATTAAGGCTATAATTTACCAAAGTTCTCAGGATTTGAGGATATAACTTAAAGGTGAATGGGTTCACCCAGGAAACAACCATTCTGGGCTTTGCTACCATCTGTGTGCAGCCCTGGAGGGTGGAGTTGAAGTAAGCGCCCCACCCAGGCCCCAACATAGCTGTGTGAAAGAGGTGGACTGCTGGACGCTGAGGGCCAGGAAGCTCCAAAGGCAGGCTTATCCCTCTCGATTCTGGTGTGCAGAACAATGTGCAGGCTCACTCAGAAGATGGGAAAGCCCAATCACAGCTTAGGTAGATGGACAGGACCTCCTTGGGGGCACAAATGATTCAGCGCTTGATTACGAACCAAAGGGTCAGTGGTTTGTCTCTCCAAGAAAGAAAACCCTGGGGATCTAGCTCTGAAAAATCAGTCGTCCTTGAAAACCATGTGGAGCACAGGTTCTCTGCCGACACCCATGGGTCACCAAAGCCTGGAGCTGACTTGATGGCACCTTTAAAAAATGTTTGTTAATGTGTTTAAAGGAAGCCTGCAGAGCTGGGCTATAAAAAAAAATCTCATTTGTCAGGGGACCTGAGGCCTATTTTGGTAGCTGGGCCAAGCAGGTAAGGTGGGTAGGGTAAGGCAGGGCAGAGACTGTACTTGGCAATAGGAAATGGGCACAGGCAGTGTATAAATGAGGAGGTTGCTTGGGTGGCACACCCAATCACTCTTCATCTTCCATCCCATGGCTGACCCTGCGCATATCTTCAATACAGGGGAGTGTGCCCTGCACGGTCAGAGGTCAGTCAGCCTACCCTCTGTACCTCCTCGAGGCAATGACTAGCATCAGCCCAGGCCTGGCTATGTGGGCATCACAGTGAGGTGGGGCCTGCCCTGTCACAGGTCACAGGGTATGTGCCCCAGCCACGCCTCAGACAGGTTCCCATGACAGAAATCCTGTTGCTATGTGGAACGCAGTCCTTAACCGCCATAGGTGAGATAGGTGCTCCTTTTTCTGCACTTCATGCGCTGGAATTCTTTCATAGTATATTGCCACTGGCTCTGCCACTGGGTGCCTTCTGGGCCTCTTATTGTCTTCAGTGTTACGGCCCTTGAACCTGATACAGCTCTTTTCTTGCAGCCTCCCTATGCTTTTTCCTGCTTCTTTTTTTCTGACAAATCATTGTGGAGCTGGCTGCTTATGCACACAACTCCTTGTCAACTTTGAGGCATGGCCCCTCCCAGAAACACATAGCAACAGGGTTTCTATTATGGGAACCTGTCTGAGGCACGGCTGGGAGAAAGAGTCAGAGACCATAACTGTGGCGAGTCAAGCTGATCCCAATGCATGGATATCCTATAAGACGGAATAGAACTGCCTCAAGGGGTCTCCCAGGCTGAAATCTTTACAGAAACATAGTACATTGACCGATGAAGACCAAGTAGACTTCAAGCAAAATTTAGGTACTGTGCAGAAACCAAGGTGCAGTTTGTTGCTAATCTGTAGTGCCCCGCACTCACCGTGTGTCCTTGAGTTGAACCTGCTATTGTTCCTTCTCTAGGACCCGTGAGCATCAAATTCTACTTGCTTTGGGGCCTTCTTGCCTGTGCCTTGAGTTCTTTTGCTACACCTTACAGACCACTCACAAGGGTCCCATGTGGCTTAATCTTGGAGCCCCTTCGCTGCCAAGGGGGAATCAAACACCCAAATACACTTGCAGAGGGATGTGCGAGCAGCTGGGGCACTCACCTGCAGCTCGGTCTGAAAGAAGAACTTCTGTGGGCACTGCGAGCAGTCGTAGATCTTGTCCTCCTGCCCGTGCACTGTGAAGATGTGCTGCTGCAACTTGTTGGCCTGGACAAAGACTGAACACAGACACGGTGGTCAGGGGCAAGAGGCTGAGGATGCCCAGCTCTTCCCAGCCAATGTAGCTGGGCAGGGGTACAGTTAGCACACAATGAGTTATGGGGCACACTATGAGCACTTTTGAGAGGAGGCTCTGGAGCCATATGTGCTGAGTTCTGCCACTACTGACTGTGCTACATTAATTAAGTTACTTAACCTCTCTGTGGTTCAGTTTCTCTGTCTGAAAAATGGTGATCATTAAAGCATGTACCTCATTAGGTATAAACTCTCTTTCTCCCCAAAAAGTGGCTAGTGAGTTTGAACTGCCAACCTTGTCGTGAGTAGCCCAACGGTAATCCAATATGCCACCAGGGTCCCTATACCACGTGGTTAAGAAGATCAAATAGTTTAATACTTAACATTTAAGAGAAGAAGTACTTAAAAGATGGCCTGGCATGTAATTACTCTAATGACGGTAAGATTAGTCCAGTTTCCATCCAGTCGATTCTGACTCGTGACAACCCCAGGCATGTCACAGTAGGACTGTGCTCCGTGGAGTTTTCAACTGGGTTGCAATCTGCAAAGTCCCCAGTTCTTAACCACCAGCTGCTCTGTGGGAGAAAGATGGGGCTTTGTCAACAGTTACGGTCTCAGAGACTCACAGGGACATTTCTACCCTGTCCCATACGGTCAGTATGAGTCAGCACCGACTCTCTGGCAGTAAGGTTCAAGTTTCAATTCTCTGGAAAACGATCACCAGACTTTTCTTCAGAGGGGCCTCAGGGCGGACTTGAACCACCAACTTATAGTGAGCAACTGAGTATACGAACCATCTGTACCAGCTACGAACGAATGAATGTCAGCTGCCAATCTTATGACCTCCATCAGCACGTACCAGGTGCTTTCCACTTGTGAAGACCTTGAGGACAGCAAAGGCCTGTAAGGTAGGCACTGTGGCCATCCTACTTTACAAAAGCGGAACCCGAGGCACCAGGGTTAAATGACGCATCTAAGTTCTGTTGCCAACAGGTGGCAGGACCAAGATGTGAATGAGAGGAGCTGAGCACAGGGTCTGGAACTCAGAGGTGCTCAACACATGCCCGTTACTATTCTTGTGGCGGAGCTGGTTGTCAGTGACCTAGATTGGCAGACCTGGCTGCTGGGGCTCCTTGGTGCCGGCCCCCAGCTAGCCCCCATGGTGCGATGCTAACAGATGGGTGCGGCCTCCTGAGATAGAGTGGGAAGAGATACCAGGGTGTTCCAGGACTCTCAGGAACCCCAGGACCATATGTGAAGGGGGTTCCATAGCCCTTCCTCCGGCCCGTCATACAGCAGGTAGCCGCTCTGGCTTCGCAGTGGTAGGAACACACAGCGTTCAGGCCCTGGGTGAACACAGGAGGCAGCCCCCAAAGCAGCTGTGTGTCTGGGAGGTGAGCACTTCAGAGCTCCCCTCCCGCCAGGCACTCTCCCCAGGGTGGGTTTCCCGCCGAGGCAGACAGCAGATGTCAGGGAGGCAGGGGAAGGCCAAGCTCCCCCACGCACACCGGCTGCCATCTGGGCAACAAGAGGGGCCTCAGAGCCCCTGAGATTTGCCTTGGGCCAGGACAGCCACTCGCTGGGCGGGCAGCCAGTCTACGGGTTGGGACCAGGCACTTCGCTGGAAGGGCTGGCCTTGCCCCCTCCAACCTGGATTGGGCAGGAGCCGAGAGGGAGCTGGGCTACTATAACCACATTAGAACAGAGGAGGGAGCCAGGAGGTATGTGCAGAGGCTGGACAGCTCTGGAGACCAATGTGGCTGAATCAATGGCAGGGAGACTGAGACTAGAACAGAGAAAGGACTTCCAGCCCTCCTGTGCAGGGTGAGAGGAGTAGCCAGAGAGCAGGAGAATGGAGAGGCAGCTCTGTGAGGAGGGAGGGAGGCAATGATCTGGAGAAATCCCCACAGATCCTGGGCCTCCGCAGGCTCCCAAAGGGAAGGGGAGGGGGCGTGCTAGAGTGAAAGAATCAAAGGGCTGGGTCTCCGGGTTCTGTTCCTTGTCCCTCTCCCTTGACCCTGGGAGCAGTGCCTTACCTGTGAAGCACACGGGGCACTTGAAGGTGCCGCCCATACCCTCGAAGCTGTGCTCAATGAGGTGGCAGAGAAGCTTGGCTGGGGAGTCGAATGTCTGGTTACACAGCTTACACTCGTGGTTGATGCCTTCCTCTGCAATAGAAACCGAAGGTGTCAGTGAGCCTGCATCCCAAATTCCCTGGCCTGCGTCCACCAGGCCCCCAATAGCATCCCAGTGTCAACCTCTCCTTGGGCCCCATCAGCAAGGCGTGTTTTTGTTCTGAGTGGTGTAGCCCCTGGAGGCGTCTAGACCCATGGGGGCCAACTCCAAATATCTGACTTGTGAAGGTATCAGTGGCTCTCATATCTCCTACACGTCATGCAGACAATGGCCAACAGTGAGGAATCCCAACCACATCGCAGTAGGGAGGGAGGCGTCTAGGTCCCTCAAACATTTATTATTTGCACAGTAACAGCCCAGTAGCCCTAAACTCAGGGACATCTGTGGACAATGGTAGAATGCTCACACGCCATGCAGGAGATCCACGTTTGCACCTCAAGCACAGCTACCCGCAGTCCCTTTGTGCTGGCTCTCATGTAGCTGGGATGCTGAACAGGTTCAGTGGAGTGTCGGGACAAGATGGACTAGGAAGAAAGGCCTGGCCATCTAGCTCTGAACATCATCCCAGGAAAACCCTATGGATTACAACAATCTCCTCCACGGCTGGTCACAGGAACGATGCAGGACAGGCGGCTTTTAATTTTGTGGTGTGTGTGGTGCATGAGCTGGGGGTGGCCCAATGCATCTAACAAGAGATACCTGGCACTTTGCTATGAGGCGGGATTCCACTGGAAACGAAATGGAGCATGCCCTGTCTACATCCTAGTGGTGGGGGAGAGAAACAACAAATACAAGTGACCACGACACCCACCATACGAGGACAGGAGCAGCGAGAGTGTAAGCACTCTGAGAAGACGGGTGAGAGCAAAGGTCTGGTCGTGCTGGGACTTCAAGAAGCACCCCCATGTCCCTGTGTGCCTAGAACCTCAAGGGACAGGGAGCAGTGGGGGGCACCTAGTGGGGGTAGGAGCAGGGCAGCCACTGGAGCACTTTGGGGTCTTACTGTGTGTGTGCTGGACACCCCCCAGAAGACATCACAATAAAGCAGTAATATGCGTTCTTCCTTTGGAAACAGATGGCAGCCCCATGGATTGTGGACAATGAAAAAAGTCTCACTCCTGCTTGCAGATCCGAACAGCGCTCAGTCTTCCCACTTGGGAGTTCCTGTGACCTCAAACCTTCACACAAAGGCACTGAGGGCCATCATCATGCCACGGTGAGGCAGCTTGGGGCTCGGTAGGGGCCCTCAATGGACCCAAGCCAGCCTAGGTTCAAATCTGGACCCTCCCCCAGCTAAGTTCCCTGAGTATCAGCTCATCTTCAGTACAAGGGCAGCCTGTGTCCTTGGCACAGGGACACGGGCAGCGGCAGCGGGATGGTGGCTGTAACCCAGGCGGCCCAGTGGTCAGTGCACGTGGGAGAGTTTGCCCCAGTGTTGGAACTGCAAGGATCTCTGGCAGGTGACACAGCCTCTCTGGACTTCCGTTTCCTTTTCTAAAGCACTCAGTAACAGACTTCCTCCAATCGTGCATGTGGGAAGGCAATGGGTTAATCGCTAGAAAGACAAAAGAACAGGCCCTGGCATACAGCAAGTACTCCATAAGTGTTTTCAGCCGGTCGTGGTGATGCTAGCTGGAATATTATCTGGGGCAGTCAAGGACGTGGACACTCCCTCAGCCTCCCCTAGGGAATCCGCCTCACAGAAGGCACCAGGTGCTCTGAATCACCCTCCAAGCCAGGAATTAGGCAGCAGAGGGGCTCTGCCGGTGGCAAGACATGAACACAGATGGGCTGAGGCTCCTGGCGAGTCCCTGGGTCCCCAGGCCCTGGCAGGGGCTGGCAGGGACAGCAGGCACTCCCCTGGTCCAGCCGTCCCCATGCCCCAGGGTATCACACCCCAGAGGCACATACACAAATGTGTGCAAGTGGGCCTGTCCCACATAGACCACTGGCTGGAATCTACCGGGTGTTTTTCAAGCCCCTGGAGCCCTGGCAACTAGGCCACATGCACCTGACAGAGACTGGAGCACAGCTTCCATTTATACTCATGAAAAAAGAATTCATTGACAAGTTTTGGGACACGGGGTGGGCCTGGTACACTTGCCGCACAGGCCCACGCACGTCCTCCACTTCCCTTGGGGAGCCTCCGATCCTAATTAGAGATGGCCTACAGTGTGGGAGTCTGCCCCAGAGACCTCTGACAGGCACACACGTGCGCATGCACACATGCACTCTCCCCGCCCCCCGCCCTACACACAAATACCACTTTCCCGTGCTGCCAGTGAAGATGGGCTCGGTGAATGAGTGAGCTACCCCCACGACATTTGATATCACTGCTCTACGAGAGTCTGCACACTCTTGGACATGTGCAAGGGAACAACCATATTAAAGGTGCTAGAATGCTATACTATATAAAGGCTATAATAATTTATGACAAGTATGTTACCATTGTTGTTAGGTGCCAGATCTATTCCGATGCAGATGCACAGTGGCCCTGTGTGACAGGGTCGAGCTGCCCCATGGGGTGTTCGTGGCAGTCATCTTTACGGGAGTAGATTGACAGATCTTTCTCCCATAAAGCCACTGAGTAGGGTTAGCAGCAAAGGGATGGTTAGAGCCCCCAGGACTTCTTTCATCTCTGAACATTAATACCAACCCAATTTTGCTGAGAACACTGCGTTGATCGGAACCAGCAACAGGTTCACGGAAGTCAAATCACCTGCTGAAGTAACACACTCAGAGTGGTGCTGAGTACGGCAGGAAAACAGCCCAAGTGTCTGAATGTCTTCTATCTGTACACCACCTCCAGGCAGCCAGCCCTGGTCTTCCCAGTGTACACCCCCACCCTTCCCTGGACAACATGGGCTGCTACTGGGCTCATTTAATGATAAGCTGTGAGTGTTTCTGATCCCATTAACTAAGATGTGGCACAGGTGAAGTCTTCTCCTTCTACAGCCCCCAGCGGGGACTGGGATCCACGGAAGAGCTGCCCACAGCCAGGCCTCATGAGAGCTGGCAGTGTGGATTAGTAGCTCTCTGCCGGGTTGGAGGCCTTTAACCATTAGGCACGCCATCCCCCAACAGCCCCCTTCCCCCCTATCCAATACACTAACAATGCAAGGACAAAGAAGGCTCCTGAAACTTAGAAATCAGAGAAATCATGTCTGACAGTTACTTCCCGTTTTCTGAGTGCCACAGCAATTCATCAGCCGCTCGCCACTGATTCATAGCTACAGCTCCACCCGATACCCACGTTCATAAATCTGTGCACAGCCAGGCAGCTGGGGAGGCAGGCTACACGGTGGCCCAAACCAGGGTCCTGGTTAAGGTTCTGGGCTAATTAGACCCTGAGCCTACATAGACCTCTACACACACACACACACACCCTCTACACACACACACACACA